AGAATTGAAATGTACCTGAGAGAAGTTGACAATTACAGGCAGGATATGGGCAACACAATCCTGAGGCTCCAACAATTTTCCAAAACCAGCACGACCCTCAACAAGTAGCAACCGCACAGAAACCTGATATGAAAAGAAGCATTTAGAAGATTATTATAGTTCTTCAAGAGCACAAATGCACTATATATCATTTTACTTTCAGTTATCCCATATTAGAATCCAGATGTGAATATTCTTCATTAGATTGTTTCAGTAGTTGAATAACTAAAAAGTATTTAGTGGATTGCAGAAAATTATTTATTATTGATTACTTCCGATCTTTGCAATAATCTATTCCTAATGCTTCACTCGTTATATCAATCATAAATAACAAATAGCCCTCTTTTTTATCTAACTGCTTTGCTAATTTGTTTTGAGCCATGGATCTTGATAAGGCCTCGCCACGGGTTGCCAGCCAACCAGACACTTTAGCTCAACCATTATGGATCCCTCAGTTGCAAAACTGACGGCAACCAGTAATTATCACCAATATTTATTTATTCGCTTTCCATGAATATGCAACTTCGATTTAAGATAAAAATAAGTTTTTGTATAAACTTGCAATTTTCGAGAGATGGTTTGTAAAAAAGGTCTCACACGGTACCAGGTTCTTGGCCTGCCTCATGTCCTCCATGTTTAAGGTTTTTAAAGAAATTGCTTTTTCCTCTTTGATTTCTTCTACAATGGTACCGAAAGCATCTTCATTGCTCTCCCCCTTTCCATTTTCCTGTTTCTTCTTCTACAATGAGCAGATTGGAATTCTCGTAATCAGAAATGTGTGTTGGAATGCACCTGCATTATCCATTTGCTTGTTCCTTTATATTTCATTAGGTTGTTTTCCTTTTCTTATTACTAAAAGCGTTTTCACGCTTTTCTTTTCCTTTTTCTTTTCTTTTCTATTGTTTCTGAGGTTAGTTGGACGGCGTCGTTTTGTTTCCGTGATACGACGCCGTTTTGTTCGTCTTGCATGAGTACGTGTATATAAACTTCCGTACGTTGTTTTCTGCATTTTATGATATACAAAAATGGCGAGAATTTTCTCCCCCAAATTCTGAGTGTTTCAACATGGTACCAGAGCAGTGATTCTGGGAAATTGAAAATCGCAGCTGAAATCGAAGAGTTTTTCATCTCTTGTTCGCAGATCTAGCTCAACATGGCGAATCAAAACAGCTGTGCGTGGCCGATTTTAACAACAAATGCAGAGACATCGAGCGCGAAGACGATGGAACCAGATCCATATCAGCTCCATGGAACAGATCACACTGGTACGATGCTAGTCTCGCATCAGTTGGAAGGAAACAATTTTCTATCCTGGAAACGTTCAATGATGATAGCTTTGGGGGCTAAAACGAAGCTCGGGTTCATCAATGGAGAAATCGAACAACCTAATCTGAATGATGAAAGGTATGCGGCATGGAGAAAGGTCGATTGGACGGTACTTTCATGGATTCTGAACTCGTTGTCAAAGGATATTGCGGAATCCTTTCTATATGCTGAAAACTCCAAGGAGCTATGGGAGGATATTTGTCAGAGATATGGAGAGAATAACGGACCGATGAGGTACAAGGTGCAGAGGGAAATTTCAGGCTTAACTCAAGGTAATAGTTCTGTAATGGAGTATTTCAATAAGCTGAAGAAGCTTTGGGATGAGTTTGCTTGCATAGTACCTATGAGGATCTGTGATTGTGAAAAAGGAAAGATGATGGTGCAGTTTGAGGCAGAAAATAAGCTAATTCAGTTTCTAATGGGATTAAATGATGGCTATGATAATCTGAAGAATCAAATTCTGTTGATGGAGCCATTACCTAGTGTTAGCAAAGCCTACTCAATGGCTTTAACAGCTGAGAGACAGAGAAGTGTCCAGAATATGTATGGAGAGAAGGTAGAGAGTGTTGCCATGATGGCTAAATCAGGAGGTTATGGGAGAGGAGGAGGAATGCAGGCTAGGGGAAATCATTTGGGAAGAGGAGGAAGTGGAGGACAATGGAACACAGGGAGAGGAAGAGGAGGTATGAGATTGACTAAGGAGGAAAAGGCAAAACTGATTTGTGAGAAGTGTGGGATGCATGGGCACACTATTGCAACCTGCTTTAAAATACATGGTATTCCAGAATGGTTTAAGGAACTAAAGCAGCAGCAAGGAAGATCATATGCAAACAATGTCATGTCATATGAAAATGAGGAAGTGCAATCACAGAAGTCATATTTCAAGGATGAAGGAAAAGGGAGAGATTTGGATTCAGTGATCAAACAACTAAATGAATTGACACAGTATATCAAAGGAAAGGAGGACAATACTAACAAGTTAGATTATGCACAGTTTGTTAGTTTCTCAGGACTGGATGAGGATGACAGTGTTCACTATGCACTGTCCATGGTAGAAGAGGGAAATGAAGAAAGGTGGATCATTGATACAGGTGCAAGCAGACACATATGCACCAATAACAAAATCATGAGAAATCTTGAGAAGATAGGAAGTGCAGTATCCATTTGTCTCCCAGATGGATCTTTAAAGAATGTAGAAATGAAAGGGGATGTTGAGATCAGTGAAGACATAGTTCTAAAGGATGTGCTATACATGCCAGGGTTCAAATACAACCTTCTATCAGTGATGCAGCTTTGTAGAGATAGAAATTTAAGGTGGTGGTTTGATGGAAGGCAGTGCCTACTGCAAGATGAAAGGGGAGAAAGGGTGATAGGGTGTGGAAAACTGGTAGGGAATCTATATGTGTTGGAAAATAACATGGCAGAAAGGGTTCAATGTAACATGTCAGTGGAAGCTTTACACAGATGTTTAGGTCATGCAGCTATTGGTGCACTTAAGCATGTTGAGGTTCTGAAGGAGAAAGAATTCAAGGAAGTTGAAAGAAAGCTGCAAACCTGTGAAATATGTATGAAGGCCAAACACCACAGAAAACCCTTTCAGGACAGCAGCATAAAAACTTCTAAATGCTTTGAATTGCTACATGTAGACATATGGGGACCATGCAGGGAGGAAGCTATTACCAACACACCATATTTTCTCAGCTTAGTGGATGATTTCAGTAGAGGGACTTGGGTTTTTCTTATGAGAAATAAATCACAAACAGAAAGAATTTTAAGAGGATTTGTGACAATGGTGAAAAGACAATATGGGAACAAGGTGGAGAGAGTTAGATCTGACAATGGAAAGGAATTCTTTGACAAAGGATTGCTAGAGTTGTTTGAAAGAAAAGGAATCACTCATGAAACAACATGTGTTTATACCCCACAGCAAAATGGGGTAATTGAGAGGAAACATAGACATCTATTGGAGATAGCAAGGGCTTTCATGTTTCAAGGTAACCTTCCTATGAAGTTTTGGCCATTTGCAGTTCTAACAGCAGCCTATGTCATTAACAGAACTCCTAGCTCAGTTATAAAATGGGAAACACCCTATGAGAGGCTCACAGGGAAGACACCAGACTACTTGCAGATGAAACCATTTGGATGCTTGGCTTATGCCACTGATAATTTGCCACATAAGTCAAAATTTGATCCTAGGGGGGTGAAGTGTGTATTTCTGGGTTATGTGACAGGAAAGAAGGGCTATCAGCTCTATGATCTGGAAGGCAATACATTGTTAATAAATAGGGATGTCACTTTTGTTGAAGAAAGTTTTCCTTTTGCTGCAGAAGTAAAGAATGTGGGTACACTGCCTACAATAATACCAGAACAAGATGAGGAGCCTATATGTGAGCCATCTATTGAAACAGTGACACCACCAAGCATTGTTAAAGAAGGAGCTGAACTGAGAAGGAGTTTGAGACAAAGAAAGGCACCACAGTGGCAAGCTGACTATGTTTGTGATCCATCAGCTTTTATGGCCAAGGTAACTTTAGAAAAGGAACCCAGTCATTATGCACAAGCAAGCAAGCATCCTGCATGGGTGGAGGCAATGGAGAAAGAGCTAGATGCTTTGGAACAAAACCACACTTGGGAATTGACAACACTACCAGAAGGAAAGAAAGCAATAGGCTCAAAGTGGGTTTACAAGATAAAAAGGAAGGTGGATGGTTCAGTTGAGAGATACAAAGCCAGATTGGTAGCAAAAGGGTACAATCAGGTGGAAGGTGTGGATTTTTTTGATGTTTTTTCACCTGTTGCTAAGCTAGTCACAGTGAGGATGTTCATTGCCATGGCAGTGGAACATGATTGGAGTCTACATCAGCTGGACATTAACAATGCATTCCTCCATGGATATATATCAGAAGAGGTGTACATGAAACCACCTCAAGGATACAATAAGGCAAAGCATGGAGAGGTGTGTAGGCTTGTCAGGAGCTTATATGGGCTGAAACAAGCCTCAAGGGAGTGGAATATGGAACTGTGTCAGAAGTTGGCAGCTTTTGGATTAATACAGTCTACTTTTGATCACTGTATTTTCACATTGCACAAGGGATCAGATTTCTTGGCCATTTTAGTATATGTGGATGACATTTTAATTACAGGATCCAATGAAAAAATGATTGCAGAATTAAAGAACTTCTTGGATCAAGCATTTACAATCAAGGACTTGGGGTTGGCAAAGTATTTCTTGGGTGTTGAGTTGGTCAGAGATGAGAAAGGAATTTACTTGGGACAGAGAAAGTATGTTCTGGATTTGTTAGGTGACATGGGAATGTTGGGATGCAAAGGTGCAGCAACTCCACTACCACATGGGTTATGTTTACAAGCAATGGAAGGTGAAGCTTTGTCACAGCCTGATCAATATAGGAGGTTAATAGGCAGGTTGTTGTATCTTAACATGACAAGGCCAGATGTTACATATGCTGTGCAGCAACTTAGCCAGTTTGTGGCTTCACCTCACACTGTCCATTGGGATGCAGCACTTCATGTGCTCAGGTATTTGCATGATCATGCAGATTTAGGTTTACAGTTTGCCAAAGGGGGATCTACACAGCTTTTAGCATATTGTGATGCTGACTGGGCAGCATGTAAAGACACTAGAAGGTCCATCACTGGATATTGTATTTTCCTGGGTGGATGCTTGGTCTCTTGGAAAAGTAAGAAACAAATTACAGTCTCTAAATCCTCAGCAGAAGCTGAGTACAGGGCATTGAGTTCTACAGTTTCAGAACTCCTGTGGATCTCCTACATTGCTAAAGATCTTCATCTTGACTTGGCTTATCCTATACCACTCTGGTGTGATAATAGAGCTGCAATTCATATCAGTGCCAACCCTGTTTATCATGAGAGAACTAAACACCTCGACATTGATTGTCACTTTGTGAGGGATAAATTCAAGTCTGGTTTTGTGCTCCCTCAACACATCTCTACACATCAACAGCTTGCAGATCTCTTTACAAAGCTGCTCAGTGGATCGAGGTTCAGAAGTCTCATTGGCAAGTTGGGCATGGTTACTCATTCCCCATGCACAACTTGAGGAGGGGGTGTTGGAATGCACCTGCATTATCCATTTGCTTGTTCCTTTATATTTCATTAGGTTGTTTTCCTTTTCTTATTACTAAAAGCGTTTTCACGCTTTTCTTTTCTTTTCTATTGTTTCTGAGGTTAGTTGGACGGCGTCGTTTTGTTTCCGTGATACGACGCCGTTTTGTTCGTCTTGCATGAGTACGTGTATATAAACTTCCGTACGTTGTTTTCTGCATTTTATGATATACAAAAATGGCGAGAATTTTCTCCCCCAAATTCTGAGTGTTTCAACAATGTGCGAATGAAAATCGAAAAAAAAATAAGTCAAGGAGACTTGGAATATACCTTGTCTCTCTACCTCTCATGCTGTAAGAATTCTCTCACTGGCTGGTAAGCTGCCGCACATAGATTCTGCCAACAGTGGTTAGTTACAGGTCAGTGGCAGATAATTGAAACCAAAATATATTTTACAGAAGGGAATTCATCAAGAGCTGCACACAGAATTACAGAAGGCATAATGCCAACGGAGGGTATCATAGTATTAGATTTTCTACTTTATTAATTAGGTGGAACTTGGAAGTTATTTACTCTCATTTTTATCAAGCATGGCAAAAATATGCATTATATTATATTCAAAATAATTTTTTTTTGTGAGACAACTTAACTGTTTTACGATTCGACTCGTCTTTTTCTATAAAATGCATTTAAAAAAAAATGTGAATCTGAGCATGCTTTTTTACAATTATTGGATTCTGAAAGATTCTTTTGTACCCTAATGTGTTTTTTCTTGGATAGCTTAGACTAAAACTTGATCTTATTTATTTAATTAATTTATCGAACAAACCTTTTATCTACAGACAAAAATTGCACTTCTGAAGGACCTTTCTCCAATTAAATCCGACAAAACAGAAGTCTAGAGTTCTAAAATGACCGTACATTATAGAATGGTTTCTTCTAGGATACATTTTGGACATCAAATGACTAATGAGATTGGTATGCACTAAAATTTCAGAAGATGATTTCTAAAATGACCAGAGCTGCTCGCAGGTCTCTGTCATCGGGCCGCTATAGAAGAAACAGAGCCAATTTAAGAAAATTATGCAAAAAAAATAAACAATAAAATGTCACCTTAATTCAGCATTCCACAACTTGCCCACTGAAATGAATTAGCTTGGAGATTGGCTAGTACACGCTGGCGCAAAACAGAGCCAATTTAAGAAAATTATGCAAAGAAATAAAAAATAAAATGTCACCTTAATTCAGCATTCCACAGCTTGCCTACTGAAATGAATTAGCTTGGAGACTGGCTAGTACACGCTGGCGCAAAAGGTCGAGGACTCGACCGATATTTGCCATAGCTCCTTTGCCTTCACTTCCGTCTCATCTATAACCCCATTTTTAAATTGTTAAACAAATAATTTCCATTTGCCCCTCAACAGCAAACTGATCACACTACTGATATAAATGTCTTTGTTCCAAGGAATCTACATTATGGTGTCTTTCGTAAGTTTTGGTTCCCCGAACCAAACTGTTTCAGTTCATAGCAGAATATCACGACATAGTAGCATACAAGTCTATTGAATTCTTCTCCTCCATATATATATTTCCATGCAGAAGAACTACTTAAGAATTAATTATCACACGACAAATGTCAGATTCTTTTGCAATCTAACAACCCTTCAACCTTAAATGGAGAACAAGGAACAAA